TAAATAAAGTATAATAAATAAAGTATAATAAATAAGGTATAATAAATAAAGTATAATAAATAAAGTATAATAAATAAGGTATAATAAATAAAGTATAATAAATAAAGTATAATAAATAAGGTATAATAAATAAAGTATAATAAATAAAGTATAATAAATAAGGTATAATAAATAAAGTATAATAAATAAAGTATAATAAATAAAGTATAATAAATAAGGTATAATAAATAAAGTATAATAATAATGCTACATACCAATAATCCAAAATATGGTAGAACCAGCTGAGGATATCCACAAGAGCGGGACAGAAATACCAAACAATCCCATATATAATTGTTTTTGAGTGATAGTACGATCATGCAAAACTAGTCCTTCATTTGGAGGTAGTTTACGAATATAATTTAAGCCACCAAGAAGGAAAAGAATAGTTATAAGCAGCCATAAATTTGTGATTCTATTGAAAATTAAAAAAAAAAGATAAATTATCGGATTGATTGAAACTAGATTGATTGAATTAAATATACTAATATGGAAAGTATATATATAAATACATACAAACAGTAAATTAACAGCCCTATAACGATGATGATATAGTTCGATTGATAGTAAGTTAAATTATAGGAAAGTCTATGTGCAATATCTAATAAGAAGTAGATAAAGTTTCATGAATTATTAAAAGATTTCAGTTTTAAATATATTAATATTGCTAATAACATGATAGATTTTGCTTAATACGGAGTGCCTACCTCCCATGCCTTTTGGTTTCGAGATTCTACCCCTATCAAAAAATTCACCCATAGGTCGAATGTTTCCTAGCCTTTCACTTTTAAACCGATTTAAAAGTGAAAGACGTTCTTGAGAAATTGGAAAACTATCAAGCCCAAATCCCCCAAAACCTCCCGGAAGGGTTTGCGATGTTGAAGTTGCCATAATTACTGCTTTTCAAATAATACAGTTATTTATTGCTTTAGAAAGAAATGTAATACGTATTTATAGTAATGTAATTTCGGGTAATTTCAGCTATTATTACCGGTATTTAAACTTTTTAAGTATAACAGATAATGAGCTAACGTTGATTATTGGTCAAAAGAATCGTGTAAAATCATTGGTTTAAAACACGTGTTGAAAATTCGACACAAACATTTTGTGCAAGAAAATTTTTTTATACATGAATGTTATTTTATTTTTTGTGCATTTGCACAGCGTATTGTTAATTTTGTGCAAATAACAATACGTGCACAACGAATTTTTAACACTGGTCGTCAGCTGTTCGATAATAAAAAAGAAACAAAGAGAAACAAAAAAAGCAATAACGATAATACGTTACGTAAAAGTTTTATTAAAGCCAATTACGAGTTCATTATATGTAACTTTGTGTAATCTATGGATATACAGTTAACTTATGTGCGCAGAACGGACAATAACGTCAAGACTAGGCCGGCGGCAAAAAAAAATATAAGGTGAAGGGTGGTAAAGTGGCGGGGATGGTAAAGTGGCGGATCAACTTATATTAAAGATTACACACGACTTAAGAATCAAAAATTAATGATTCTTATACTATTCGATTCGTCTCACCAAGGTGAATCGAATGGTGTATGGAACATACGGTTCTGGCCAACGGATTGCAAAATATTCGCAAAAAAATACCTCAAATTTCGATAAAGAGCAAATTGCGGCTGATCGTCATCATGCATATATGTCGCTATCAATATCACTCATCACATTTACGTAATAAATATGTAATAAAAGAAAATATATTAAACTCTGAAAATATTACGTGCGTAATACAAAAATGTGAAATTTAAATTGTAAAATTTATATTGAAAACCTTTAATCTCTAATATAAGATTCTCTCGCATCAAATAAGCGAAAACCTGCTCTATAAAACCGCATAATTTCTCTTTCACTAAAAGAATGGTAACAATCATCATAAAATTTTCTATACCATAAGCTACACTCTTCTCTAGCATAAAATAATTTGACAAATTCATATATTTCTAAATGTTCAGTAGTGGATTCATACATATACTCTATATCACTATTACCATTATCATCATGTCTGACCTTTTTTATTTTTTTGTATACTGCAATAATATAATCCATTTTTATAAGCAGTTGATAATCACCGATTGATTCAGCAAAAAATTTTACGAACTGCTTAATTCTATGATATTCTCTGGTATAAGCATTATGACTATCAACAGATTCACTATCTTTATCTGTAACGACTAATCCTAACAAATATTGTATGAAATTATTTAGGCGTTCATATAGTATCGGGAGTGCATAGTTCATTCGTTCCTTAAACTCTCCATAATCGTAAGTATTTTCGATTAATTCACTACAAAATCCCAGAAATGGATCGTTTATTTCTTCTTCAGTAGGGGAAAACATTCTGATTATTTTTAGTGAATAAATTTAAAAATTTTATGTTTTAGAACATATAGGATCTTTTTCTTGAAAATGCTATTACAAGGTAAATAGATAGCGATTATTTAAATATGTCTTATACTCATCCTCAAGACAAAAAACTCATTAAATTCAGCAAACAGATCGATTATGAGATTAATTCCTTAGAATCGTTATTGTAAGAAAATGTTATTTGTCTTTCATTATTTTTTGGTTAGCATTATGCAATTAAATTTAAAGTAAATAATTGTTTAAATAAAATAAAGCTTTGAACAAAAGCGAATAACCAAATTAGAAAATAAATTGTCTAACCTTAGTAGGCTTAGATTTTTTAAACAAAAACTAAATTACAAAACGAGTAATTTACAATTCTCTATGTTAATATCGCATAATCGTTCGTAATCATACAAAAGCAAATTACCTCTATGTTAATATCGCGTAATTGTGATTATTAAATTAATGATATCATTTATTTGACTTCTGTATATTTTTCACAATTATAGTTTAATAAATAATTGATTTGTCGATGCCAAAATTTATTTAAATAGATCTTTTTTTAATTATAATAAATTTCAAAATTTCAAATTAAAATGTTTAAATCTAAAGCTAAAAAAAATAATAAACCCCTCAAGGCTAAAGAATCTGTAAAAATTAAAGCTAAAAAAAACAAACCTCTCAAAATTAAAAAAAGTGAACCCGCCAAATCAAAAATTGACCAAACCACTAAACAAAATGCTATCAAAAATGCTCTTGAAATGCTTGATAGTCCTGATCATCCTAGTATATGCGAAATTGCTCGAAGATTTCGTATTGCTGAAACAATCTTTAGACATGCGATTAAAAATAAGAAACCGCCAAAATGACCTGGTCGTGAAACTGTTTTAAGTACTCACGAAGAAGAACAATTAGTTGGCTACTGTAAAAATATGCAAAAATTAGGTTTTTTTTTCTACGTGTAAAATGCCCTCAGGTACTTTTTATCGAACTTATAATTTCAAAATTAGGGTTTGGATTAAATAGATCAGGAGTAAATCATTGTGTTATGGAGATTATGCGTAATAACAAACGTAGCCACCCATTCTCTTCTAAAGGACCTGGTAAAGCATGGTGGTCACGCTTTATGAAAGATCACCCAGATCTATTTTTTCGCGTGCCTCAGGCCTTATCGGAGGCACGCGCTCAAAGGGCTAACCCGATAATTATAAACGATTATTTCAAAAAGCTGCAAAAAATAATTCAAGAGAACTCACTTACCCCAGACCGTATTTGGAACATGGATGAAACTGGTTTTGTACTCTCTCCAACAATTCAAAAAGTTATTGCCGAAAAAGGTTCTTGCCAGGTTTATAAAATTTCACATGGTAATACAACTGATCATATTTCTGTTGCACCAACGATTTCTGCCGCTGGCGAATATATTCCTCCATTAATAATATATAAAGGTGTTCGCGTAATTCCAGGTAAACAAAAAAAACCTAAAAATTTTTTTTAAAAAAAATTAATTTTGCAAAAATACAGTACATATTAATTTATAAAACTTTGACCTGTTATTCTAATCTTAGGATTATTAGAAGGAGCCCCGGAAGGTAGTGTTATGGGATTTACTGACTCTGGATATATGAAAGAAGAACTCTTTCAGATATATATCGAACATTTCATTAATTCCATACCTCCTGCTCGCCCAGCCCTTTTAATACTCGACAGTCATAAAAGCCATATCAACTATCTAAGCGTTAATTTTTGTCACGAAAATGGAATCTTGCTGTATGCTCTTCCACCTCATACTATGCATATTCTCCAGCTCTCAGAAATTCCTTTTGCCAAACTCAAAAGTGAATACAACAAAGAATGTGACGAACTTCATATAAAAAGTGGTGAAGTAATAACCAAATGCACTTTTGCCAAAGTGTTTGGGTTAGTTTTTTTGCAACATATACTACTATGGCAATTGCCAATTCATTTAAAGCCACAGGAATCTGGCCTTTTAACCCTGACGCGATTAATCCTGATCGGCTTAATCCTTCATTGACCACTAAACTCGACTTACCAATGTCTCAACAAATTAACCAAACCAATGACATATCTCCAGTACCAGAATTTTCTCAACCAACCATCGCTTACTCTACTTTCCAATCAAACAATACTTACTCTACATTAGAAGAGGAAGTTGTGTCTCTTAGAGAAGAAGTTAATCAGCTCAAAGAAGAAAGTGCATCATTAAAAAAAAATTATTCATTAATGCAAGAAGAGCTTGAAACTTTTAAGAATCCTGGTACTTGCCCACTTAAGCTTGTGTTCAAATATCCTATTTGGCTTCTACAAAGCACTGATCCAGTGGCTGAAGACACTTCTACTCAACCACAAAAGAAAAGAAAAACTTTACCATTTGCTCGGCTTCTTACTAATAAAGAATCATTGGAAAAATTAAAAGAAGCCGACGAATTAGCAAAAAAGAAAGTAGAATCTGCAAAGCAAAAAAAAAAAGAAGCTCTTCATAAAAAGGAGGTTACAAAACAGAAGAAGGAAGAAGCTCTTCGTAAAAAGGAGGCCACAAAACAGAAAAAGGAAGAAGCTCTTCGTATAAAGGAGGCTGCAAAGCAAAAAAAACAAATAGCTAAAAAAAAAGATTAAAGATGATAAATACTTAATAGCCTACGTTCGAATTTTTAGATTCTAATTGGTTATTTTATTCATGCACGTTGATCTGTCGATCCGCCACTTTACCCTCTTCACCGTTGAAGTTACTTCGCACTAATAAAAATTGTGCAAATTCAAGTTAACTTGTTTTTTTTTTTAATATTAGAATCAGTTAGATAGAGAATTATAGTTTTGTGAAATTAAAATTGCAATTAATAAGATTTTAATAAAGTTTTACTATAAGCGAATTTTGATTAATTTTAACTCCGCCAGAATACCTCCCTCCACCTTATCTGATATTTAAAAAGAATTATATTTTTTCACGTAATAAATATATATATATGTGCTAACATGCATATATAGAAGAAAAGTCAATTTTATTTACGCGGCCTAATTTTCTGAAAGTATAACGATAACTATTTCGTTTTCATGCACATCATCGGAAAAAGCTTCTTAGCCTTTTTTTTTTTTTTTGAAAATAACTTAACGCTATATTTAAAATGCTAGATTTTTTTGGTTAAAAAATTATCTGCGTTTTAACACGTTAAACTATTTTATTTCATCTGTTATATAAATATATATACTATATGGTATTATCCATAGCTTTGTGTTGCCAATTAATTTACAAAATATTTTGTTCGTTATTTACAGAAAAAAATATTCTAAAATCCAAATTTTTTCAGAAAAATCATACGTGTTCAATATTCTAATATATACAGTATATATCGACTATATATAAATTTTAGGCATTTCTCCATCGTCTATCTACATTCAAAGATTGCCAGACTTCGTAAATAACAGTTCTAGGTCCACCTACAATATCCGAATTTTCACTTTCAAGCATTCGAGCTTTAAGACCACATAAGACACGAAAAGCGAGTTTCCAACAACCTTCATTTTCAACATTTTTTGAAAACGATTGTATATATAAAGCTGCTGCTTTTAATCTCAATTCAAATAAAGAAATGTCATGATTTAATTCAGATCTATCGACATGTTTTAACATGCTTTCATAATTTTTTTCTAGAGGAAAATTTGTAAACTCTTCAGTATATTTATAGCTTACAGCTCTTATCCTTCCATTTTTTGAATAAACTGAATCTTTTGATGGATGAGTATTTTTTAATTCTGAGAACAAATCTTTTTCTTCATCCTCATTTAATAATCTTTTAATTTCATTATTATATTTTCTAAGAATCGAGGAAGTAACATTAATAATAAGTTCCAGATCTTTTTTATATCTACCACCGTCATCCAAATTGCTCGCCCTATCAAATTCTCGTAACCAAAATTGATGGATATGTGGGTCAAGTCCATGTCGAGCATTTAATACAACAGAAAATTCGGGAGAATTGACGAATGCTGTTTCTTCTTGTGCTACTTTCTTTAAGTCATCCATAAAACATACACTTCTAGTATTAGAATTTGATTTATCCTTATCCATCCAATAAGGTATTGGAAAATTAGTATACTTCCTGTCTGATGAAAATACTGAAGGTTTCAGTGTTTCACCCTGTTTAGTTGCGTCTAATAGTCTGGCATTTACTTGAGCTAAATAAATAGATTTGGGATCTGATAGTCCAAAATGGGACGAATATATCCTATGATAATAGTCATACATTCCTATTGGTGTTAACATATCCTTAAAATATTCATCAAGTATTAATCGTTGAACTTTTTTTGTGCATTGGTTCATATCATCTCTAACTGGTGCTAAATAATCTCCAATTGTCTCAATACATTTAGTAAATGCATTTTTTACCTCAGGTAAAGTCTCGGAAACAGGTGAATTTTGAAACGACTCTGTGAGTCTCGGATCCCAACAACAAAATACTTTATCTCCATCATAATCACCTCCACTTAATTTCGCTGCTAAAGGTCCTTCCCTTGATTGAGCTTTTACAGGGAAAATTACAACATTATAATATTTACACAAGTATGGATTATTTACTGCTCTGGCTTTCTGAACATCAGAAGGTAAAGCACACGGATTACGACAAAGTAAAACATCACCTTCTATTATACCTATACGCATTCCTCTCTCATCGTACCCAGCTTCACCATCTAGTTGAATGAAAATTTCACCTTCTTCTAAGGTATTTGTCGGATCTGCAACGCAGACAAGGGAACGTGATAATGGAGTTTCAATATGATATTTTGAAGCAATATTTGTTAACTGTCCTTTAAGAAGTTGTTTTAATTTCTTGGCCAAAAATGGACAAGTTGATGGAGTAAAACCAGCATCGAGCATTTCAATACAAACTTCTGAAATATTATCCGGAAAACCGGACAAAGAAACTCCACCAGAACCTGAATTTGTACTGACTTCACTACAATTACTTCCATAATCATTAACGTCAGAATCTTTATTAATAATTCTTTCTTCAATACGCCTACGCATTATATTTCCAGATTTCACAATCCATGCACGTAACACAGTCGGATCATCTTGTCCTACTACCATTTCTTTAATCTTTTGAATATTTTCTTTCATCATGTCAATAAATACTTGAGCAGGAACGCCACCATTTTCTAATATTCTTATTAATTGTGCATTCAATGTAGCGGGACGATCTGGAACCTTTATAATACGGACTAAGTCAAGAGTCCTTAAATGATAATTATTGATTGTAAAATCCAGTTTATATTTTGTTTGTGATTGACGCAAGTCAATTCTTAATTCATATGGATCACGAACTTGAGGATCCAAAAACCAAATACCTTTTGCACCACCTATTCTAGCTTGTATAAATTGAGGAGTTTCTTTACAATCCATAACTTTTGATATTTGACGCATTACAGCTAAAGATATTGGAGCACATCCATCTGTTAAAACCTGACCTAAAACATTTTCTATATCCGGTTCGTTATAACGAATTTGATCGTGACTAAAAACAATTGCGGGAGTTGAATCCGAAAATCCTAAAGAAATTCTACTATAAAATTTTGCGGTAGTCATTTTAAGATTGTTATCTATTGGAACATCCCAATTAATCGCATCCCAAATTTTTATAGGTTCAAGACACGAACCATTAGTTGCAAAATAATATAAAGTTCCCTCTCTTGCATATAATAACTCATAAGTCCTTCCGACTAATTCTATAGGATTTAATAAAAGGTTTTTTAATAAAGAAAATTTTTTTTCATCTAATTTCTCTATATCAATTTCTTTATTAATCTTTATATGTAAAAATCTTTCTGAATAAAACATTCGGTAATACAGTTTGGATTGACAAGTTCTAGGAGGATTAAGATTCAGTTCTAATTTTCCATTCCGCATTGTTATATCAGCAGAATAATAAATATGCTTTCTTTTTCCTATAGATTTATTAGTTTCTTGAACTTCCCAAAGTAACCTATTATATGGTATAAGCTTGCTTAATTCTTGACCATTAAAATTCTTACAAGGATCCATTAAATGTTCTTTGCAAATCGATTCAAAAGCTTCATAAAAGTCGAAAGCAGTTTTACAATTATTCAATTTATTCAAAATATTTATTGAATAATTAATTGGTCCAAATGGTTTGAATAATCTAACAACTTCATAACGAACCAAAAAAGGGAAACCATTCAGGTAATTTTCGTACTCGTAGGGAATTTTTGTAGAACAATTTTTCGTACCTTTGGGAATCCAAACTGAATTATTAATAAAATTATTTGAAATAAGATTTACAGGAACTTCAACATTTTTAGAAAAAACATTGTTAGAAAAAACATTATTAGAAAGATCATTTTCATCAGTAATCTCGCAAAGAGAAAATTCATCGGTGGTCTCAGACTTAGAATATTGTTGGTGAAGAACTTGTTCAAAATCCATTTGTAATTGCCGAAACACATTTTTGTCCATTGATATGCCAGAATGCATAGATTTTTCAAAAAATTCGTTAATTAAATCATCCAAACACTTTACATCTTTGAACGCCAATTCTTCCATGTAAAATTCATGAGACAATGTGATGAATGGTTCACCTATTCGATATTTGGACATTAGATTTTCAACCATCCGTTTTCTTCCATTTACCACTTCAGTAAATGAATTTTTGCCACTTGAATCTATGCTAGTTATGCTACTAGAGTATGAATTTTTTTTGCTACGCGAATATTCGTTAGTAGAGCTACTAGATTCATAGCAACGGTTGAAATTTAATTGTGTAGACATAGCGATAGTAAATTATGATGCTTTAGACTATATAACTTGACTGGGTCAACTTAAAAATTTTTTAATTATTCAGGTGGTTTTTTTTTTCTTTTAAATAAAATTATATAATCGGCTGTTTGACTTCTTTAAGAAATTTTATGTCGATATTTGCCTTAAAATACATGGTTACAACTTTTTTTTTTTTTTTCAAATCTTAAAATATTAATTTCTATTGCGAGTTATTCTAGGTTTGGAATTATGTCGTGGTAACAATTTTTTTAGTTTTTTTTTTTTTTTTTTTTTTTACACTAAACCTGATATAACATTAACAACAATGCAAAAATTTTAACTTAATTATAATTAGATGTGAAAAAAAGATCTCTCATAAGATAATAAACAACACTATGCAGTGTAGCCACTTTTTGAATTATATATACATATACATATACATTTACATCTACATGATATACATGTGTACGTACTGTACATACATACGTATTTTTTAGCAAACGTCTTTGTCTCCTAACCGGAATCGTCGAGTTTTCAAAAAAAAGAAGAAATAAAAAAATTCCGATATTATGTATATTGACGATTACTTTATACCTGATACGTACTGTACCATTCCAGAATTTATACCGGTTGATATAATAAATTTCATTATCCCACGTTTAATTATGATCTCATCACGGGAATTTTAAATATTTGTTATCAGTTTATTTTTTGCTGTACTGTACAAGTACGTACCTACGTAAGTACATACGCGTAAAAAAAAAAAAAAGGCTGATTCCCGGTAGCCAGAAAAAGTTTTTTTTTTAGATACGCAAATGGTAAATGAGTAAGAAACATTCTCGTTATGAGAGTGGTTTCCGCATATAATACGTATAACGCCAGATTTACGTATTTGGAAAGAAAAAATTTTTTCAATGATTTTGCCATAAATTAATTAGTATCGACAGAATGAAACCAAATCCTTATCGTTATTGATGCGTAACAATTTTCTCATATATATATGGGTTTTTTTTTCATGAATAAGCATCCAATTATTGATTTTATCGATCCGACGAAAGGTAACTAAAACAAACAAATAAGACGCCACTGGTTTACGTATGTATTACAAACCCAAGAAAGGGGGGTAAGAAACCATAATCATCTTTAATTTATCTATTCTATCAATTAATAGAGATAATCAATTTAATACTGTAATAACGATAACGATAAATGTAAGACTCTAAAAAAAAAAAAAAATAAAGATTGATCTTGATTATTAATTAATATTATGAGATTTCATTTCATGTTTTTATAATAATCCAAACTTGATTAATTCTAACGTTCTAATTTTGTGATTCTTATTTTCACACGTTCTGTAATACTTGCGCAAATAAGTAAATTCTTGATTATCTAACCTTATGCATAAATAGCTTTAGTACTATCGCTATATAGATAGTAAGAAATCGGGAACCAACCTTGCATAATAAATACTTTCAAAACGAAATCATGTTTCAATTTCACGAAACAGACTTATAACAACCCCTTGATCCCACGATTATATCATGACGAGTGTATTAAATCATATTTGGTCGAAAACATTAGATAAACAAATGTTAAATAGTTAACGCCACGTCAATCACCTACTTCGAATATCTTAAGTGAAAAATAAAATCGGGCTTAAAATACTTGGATTTGGTCTATTATAAATGTAAATACTCGGATTGGTGTATCCTAAATACTTGGATTTGGTGTATATCAAATATATTTGTTGTAAATTTTTATTCAAGCATTTTTATTTACGTAGAGGTCGGAAATTAGAAAAAATTGACTAAATTTTATCGTAAATTTTTGCAGGCAAAATTTGTTTGCAAAAATTTACTCAATGATCGCGCATATTTAATTCAATTAAGATCATGTGTCTAAATGATCCAATTAAGTCGTGGATGTGCCATTTAGAATTTGTCGAATGTCAAAAATTTTTTTCAAATAGAAAAATTTCAAATTTTATTAGTTTTAATTCCTGAAAGGTATAAATAACACTCCCGGTACGTAACAGCTCGTGATTTGACTAGGTGATTTTTTGTTATATATATATAATATATATATAATACGTATCATTAAGTGGATTATTAATTGGCATGATACTGTATTGCATTATACGTACAGTATATGAATTATTTAGAGTGACAGTAATATATATAGGGAACGCCTATTTCAACCATTGGCCGTAATTTATCGTAACAATGTTCGTCATGTGAAAAAACATGGTGGAAATGGGCAGGGGTACCGAATAATTGATTGTGAAGGCAATTTTAATTGCAATTATTTGATTGATTGGTGGCGCAGCCATAATTAAACAATTTATCGGCAAAAAAAAGATTATTATATGATTTAAATAAAGAAAACAAAAAAGCATATATGATTAGATAAATAAAAAAAGCTTAATGATTAAATAAATAACAAAAAGCTTATACAATTAAAATAAAAAAGCCTATATGATTGGAAAAGAAGTGTTTTTTTAAAAAACACGTATGCTAAAATATATAGTCTTTATCTTTAACCTGATTACAAAAGGTTCAAACAAATGCTATGTAGAGGCCTTTTTTTCAAGCGTTTGATAAGTATTATTATATGGACTGGAGAAAGACTCTTAACCCGTATACCTTGGAAAATCTTTTTGCTAAGAGTAAATGGTAAAATGTGGTCAATTCAGGACGTTTACCAAATTAAACATGTATATGAATGATTACATTTTAATGGAAATTTTAGTTACTGTATTTTTGCAATAACTTTTTTGATACTTCTATTATAAAAATTGCAATTAACTGCAGTTATTTCGCAATTAATTGTTTTGCAACAATGTCAATTAAATATAATTGCGCAATAATTTAATTGCAATTCAATTTTGGTACCCCTGGAATAGGCGTTCCCTATATATACAATATATATATACGTATATAGTATTACAGTATATATTACAGATCTATCGCATTTGATATATTTAACATATAAATCTAAATCTATATCGATCTAATTCGAATTACTTTAAGTTATTTTA